ATACTTTATATCTGGTTTTAAGCCCTGTTGTAAAATTTAAATATTGAAAGTTAAGAAAAAGCTTTGATATTTTATAGTGTTTTGGATTTATTGATCGGTATTTCTATTGTTTGTTTTTTTGTTTGTTTTATATTTAACTTCTCAAAACTAATAATATAATTATATATATATATATATATATATATATATATATATATATATATATATATAATATATATATATATATATATATATATATATATAACTACATTTTTAGTTTTGAGAAATATATATATATATATATATATATATATATATATATATATATATATATATATATATATATATATATATATATATATATATATATATATATACATAGTGATTGTTATTAAATAATAAAAGAACGTGGAGACTCGTAGAAGACCATACGGTCTTGTCGTCGACTACCGCTAAGTAATGTTCGTGTTAAAGTTTATAAGATATTTACAAGATAAAAAATAAGTTAATGAAGTAAAAAATTTAAAATATTGCGTTATAAATACAAGATACATTATTACATACTGCAGTTTATTTTTGATTAAATTTATGATTAAATAGAGGGTAAAAAGGAAGATCACTAAATATCATAAGTATATTGTTAAATCTTCAATTATAAAAATGAGTTCTTTAAGCTTTCGTTAAAAAGAAAAGTAGTTACTTTGATGAAAATCCTTAGGGGCTGTTCATATGGATAAAATCATCCCGCCTAACCGGGACAGAAAAACAACCGGAGTCCCGCCTATCTTAATAAACTCTTATAATTTTAACATCGCGTTCATATATAAATTTTCTCACCCCGCCTAGGCGGGATCTCGCCTATGGACTACCGGGATCCCGGTCAGGCGGGGTGAAAATTCTTCATATGAACACAAGTTGAAAATCACCCCGGCTCGACTGGACAGTTTTGTTAAGAAATTCAATGAGCATTTAATTGTTTTTAAGTTTAAATTGTTCAACCACGTATAAAAACAAAAATATTTAATAATTTTATATAATTAATTAAATAATTTGCGCGAATGATTATATATAAACAAATGTCACATGATCTTAAAAGCGTCCCGCTAGAGCAAGATGTTTTTTCCATATGAAAACAGCTGAAATTCATCCCGCCTAACCGGGGTACCCCGGTTAGGCGGGATGTTTTTTATCCATATGAACAGCCCCTAAGAATGGTCCGCGATAATCAATACAAAATTTAAAAAGATTTGTTTGAAAAATGGGCGGCTTAATTAAATTATCTTTGCGTAAAATGTATTTAATTTATCTTTTGATGAATACAAATTATGGATATTGGGGGTGAATTGGTTTTACATTTAATCAAAAAACTAAGAATATTGGAAATATTAAGCTCATATATATTAAAAACTTTTATTTTCAATAATAGAGGCTTGGCATGAGTATAGTAAGACGTGCTAAATGCTTCTGCTGACAATAAAGAGGTTTAATTTATTTTTATTTGTACTATTCCAAGCAATGTTTGCATAATGTATGTGATAATGAATAAATGAGTGGTATAATTGTACTAAAGTTTAAAATTTTACTTTATAAGTTTTTAATGTGATTTTTCCATTTAAGATTTTTATCTATCAAACATCTAGAAAGTTGGTTATTGTTACTTGTTTAATTTGTGTGTTGTCAATAACAAGATGAAGCATATTAATTGGCAATTCATGTTTTTTTATAAGAAGATGGAAAAGAATCTATTTAGTTTTATCAATGTTAATAGATAGTTTGTTAGTCTTAAACCAGTCAGATATTTTGGTTAACTCGATGTTTACGTAATGAAATAGAGTAGGAGTGCTTTTGTGTGACATAAATAAATTAGAGTCATCAGCAAACATAATTGTTATTAAATTCGAGGCTTTGTATAGATCATTAATATAAATTAGGAAAAGAAGAGGTTTTAATATGGATCCTTGAGAAACTTCACATGTAATATTTTACAAATTTGATGAAAATGTTACATTGGCGTAAAAAAATTGTTTACAACTTGTTAAATAACTTTTCAACCATTATAAAACATTGCCTGTTATATCATAATATTTTAATAAAGGTGATTGTATATTCTGTAATGAATAGTTTAGGTGAGTTTTGGCGTTTATTGTGTTTAAGTTAACTGAGCTAAATACACTCTATTCCAACAATATTTCATTAAATACAAAAAGTTTACAAAAAATGAACTGCTTTCAGATTATAAGAGATTACAGTTCAAAAATGAAAAAAAAAAACTCGTGATATCTTTCTCCACAGTCATCAAAATGAGAAAAAAGAGTCTAAGTTACTATACAGTAGAGATGCTCTTGTCTTCTTCCAAAACGTTACGAAAATAAAAGTTAACAGTTAAAACAGTTAGAAAATTTAATGATTGAGAAAATTGCAGAACTTTGGCATGAAGACGAGTCAAACAAGATGGTCGAAAAGTTAAAGAAATTTTACCGTGAATATCAGCTCCTCAAGAAAGATTTTGAAGATTCAGAGAAAAAAGCTTTCAATGAAAATCTGCAAAATTTGTTATTTTAAACGCTCTAGTTTCAAAAATGAAGAAGACAAGGACTTTTTTCTTATACAAAAGGAACCTGGTTGAATAGAAAAACAGGGATCAATTGAAGAGATCCTAACAGCTAAAGATGTAAATACAAATACTGACCAAAATAAAAATCTTGGAAAAGGCTGAAGAAAAATTATCGACAACTTCTGCACTTGTACAGTTGGAAACGTCTGATTGCAGTAATTGTAATGAGAAGTTATGAGAAAAGAATTATGGTGTTTTTGGAGAAGATATGTCTTAAAAGCCAAAGAAGCAAAAACATATTCGCTACTGACTATAAATGTTCTTAGATAGGTTAAAGGTTTCTGACAGAAACACAGTATTTGTGTTGAAAGAACCCTCAGACAAATTGTAAATTAAATGAATACAAACAGGTCCTTCATTTTTCACGAGCGCATAAAGCACCGTGTTTTCAATTCAAATTGCTAAAAAACTGAAAGCTGAACTTAAAACAGATGCTACTTTGTTTGTTCATTGGGATAGAAAGCTAATTCAAGATTTTACAGCTAAAACTCTTGTTGATTAACTTCTTATTGTCTCTAGTTTGAGTGTAAAGCAGTTACTGACTGTTGAAAAAGTACCAAATGTAACTGGACAATTTTATGCAAACGTTGTTGTAACTGCCTTAGAAGAATGATGACGACAGAAAAAGTTGTTCGTCTGGCTTCGACACAAAAAAATGGGGCATGTATTATCATTATAGCAAAACTTGAGGAGGACTCAACCCTATTTTGCATGTCAGCATCACAAATTAGATGTGGTTCTTTGAGTAGTATTTAGTTCTTTTGGGAAGCCAGGGAAAAGACATTATACTACTCTAGAGATTTTAAACATTGGTAACCATTGGTAACCATTGGTAACTTCCAGTTAGATAACAAAGAAGCGTTTTAACTAATTGTAGATCAAAAATTTGATATTATTGAGAGCTGCTGGAGATTTCAATAGTTTTTCTTGGTGAAGTACTTTTAAGAGGAATCCATTTTAAAGCCCCTGGATGGCTAAAGTCATTTACTCTTTAAAGACCAGGATGTTTTGTATCCAGCTAAAAATAGAACAGCATGGACTCTCTGCAGTGTATATATTTACAGTCAAAGGTAATCTTAGGTCTTGGATGGACATTACTTCCTGAATCTGCACCAAGAATTGATCTAAGACTTATGAAGATATTTCTTGATGAGAGAATTGCAGCTATATTTATTGGTAGCTTTCTGAGGAGTTAGTAGCATTGGAGTTTTTTGACTAAGAATTATCAGATGACATAAAGAGACAAATCTTTGTGTCAATCAGCAAAGTCGGAGATCTGTGAGACTAATTGCTTGACTGACCTTGTGATAATTAACACAAGGCAGTTTTTTTCAAAAACTATATTTAGATTTAAAGTTCAAGAGAAAAATACGATAGATCATCAGAGTTAGTGAAAACTAATTGTGTTCAAAACAAACTTAGTGTTCGAAAGTTATGACCATGTGATCCTTATTTTAGGAGGTTTAGAAATTTCACATTACATTTTGTTAAAACTTTATATTATTATATTATTATAATTTTTGAAGACTAAAATATTATAATCTCATGACTATGTGACGTCTTATAAACGTCACATGGTTGTTGAACGTCCTTAAATCGCACCGGGCAGACTTCATTGCAAAGCCTTCTCATATGATATAAGCATAAACAAAACCAAGTTTTAAATTTATTGATTATCTGAAAGTTATCTTTCTCAAATACCAGATAAAAAGTTGCGGCTGAATGAATATTTCCCTGAATAAATACTTCCTTTTTTTATGTTGTAATAAAGTATTTAATAATGATGTAATAAAGTATCTAATAATGATGTAATAAAGTAAAGTATCTTATAATGATGTAATAAAGTATTTAATAACGATGTAATAAAGTATCTAATAACGATTTAATAAAGTATCTAATAATGATGTAATAAAGTATCTAATTATAATGTAATAAAATCATATGAAAATCAGATGATTATTTTCTTCAAGTAGAATGATCGTTTTGGCGAAAAAGAACAGTGAACAGTTCTTTAACAGTATTAAACATTAGGCACTGAGGAAGACAACAATTTCTGCCTGGCTTTGTTTAAATTAGTTTATTTACATTCTTTTAAATTCAATTTGACGGCTAATTTGTTATAAACTACTTTGACCACGTGATAATTAAGATAAAACAAATACTTCCAGACCATTGTTCATTTCTATAGATTTCAAAAAAGTCAGAATTTCTTTGTAATAAAAATTTGTTTGTTTTAAAAATGCATTTTGATAATTTAATTTAAATCTCTTCTTGAGAGAAATAATTCTCGAAAATAAATAAGGCCGCTGTTTGCATCACAAGCGTGAGTTTGCAGTTTCTCTACTCTTATTGAGAGCAAAACTTTTTTGTTTACGATCAAATGTTCTTATTTATGGTCAAATGAACTATAAACTTGTATTGTTAAACCATAATATTTGAGTTTCTGTCTTCTGTCTATGTTCGTCTTTAACTTTTTAAAAGTAAATTTTTCTTCAGAACGATGCTTATTTTTAGCTCATGGTTTGCTTACATAGGTTAGTTTTTAATAGATTATTAAATATTTTACTTAATTTTTTTGCAATTTACATCTGGGTTAAATATCTCAAAACTTTCAATATTAGGATATATATTTTTTCATCTTTTCAGCAATATACTAGATCATTTTTTCATTGTTAAACTCTTTCAAAATGACTCAGTTGAACAAACTACTAAAACTTTTGTTGGTCCCATTAATATATTAGGTTACTTCGATATTTTGAATCGAAAAGTGATTCGAGATTCGATTCGAAAATTTTCAATTTATTCGAATCAAATCAAGGTAATTTCATTGTAAACTATTTATCCATCAAGGTAATTTAATTATAAACATCCCAACATTAACTTTATAATATTTTCTAATTAATAAAATTACATTTTTAACATTATTGGAATGTTATTATTCTATTAATTGAAGCCATCATAGAAATTTCAGATTTTAAAAAGTACCCAGTGGACACTCGTTTTTTTTAGGGACGTCAGTCAAACCTCTAATGGACCTTGACGCATTCCCACTGGATAGATTAAGTAAATTAATAATATGCGCGGACAATTATCGTTTCTGCGCTATTAACGATTATCGTTACTGCGCTATTAACGATTATCGTTAATGCGCTATTAACGATTATCGTTACTGCGCTATTAACGACTATCGTCACTGCGTTATTTGCGCAGTTTAAAAAAAGTAGTTTTTTACAATTTAAACCTATTTTGAATGTAAAATGTAAAAATGCAATAAAATAAAACTTGATTTAAACTTTAAATCAAATTTTGTTTGAAAAAAACTCAACTTTCAGTTATAAAGTAAAGATTTTTTGCAAAATAATGCAATTTTTTTTTTTTTTTACATTTTTAAAAAATGTATAAATGTACAACTGCTACTTACACCCTTTGTAAATATATTTCATAGAGAGCAATATAATTGAGAAAGGATTATTTAATAGATATATTAGAGATATTTTACGTAATTATAAATTTAATTACGTAAATTATTTCTAATTCCTAGTTTGCTACATATAACTGCAGCAGTTAAATTTTGGCGGAATTTGGTCTACAAAAGACTTTTTTAAACATTCAAAACACGTTCATAAAACGTCTCTTTTAAAACAAACTCAAGTATGTTACAACATCTTTTTTTGGCAGGAATTATATATATATATATATATATATATATATATATATATATATATATATATATATATATATATATATATATATATATATATATATATATATATATATATATATATATATGTATATATATATATGTATATATATATATATATATGTATATATATATATGTATATATATATATATATATATATATATATATATATATATATATATATATATATATATATATATATATATATGTATATATATATATATATAAACTATATAAACGCTCCACCATTCGAGCACTCAACTCAAAATCGTCCACAAGATTGAGAAATTAAGCTTGCAATACTCAATTAAAAATATAAACAATTGGATAAAGAATTTATATTGCAATTACTAGTAAAACAAATCAGGTGGAAAGCATTATTATTTATCAACAAGCAATCTGATCAAAAGGATTATAATGGCTAATAATGTAAACTACGGTATTAACTCTTCAAAATGTATTCTGCAAATAAAGTGAATGTCGTCATTCGAAAACAATTTAATAACCCTTGTTAAAACCATCAAAATACGTAAAATCAGCAACGTTTTCCAAATAAACAACAACAAAGGATGTAAAATTTTCAAAAACCTCTACAAATTTTTAACTTTAGCTGACAAAACTTCAATATTTTAAATCAGAATTAGTAATACTATAAAAAGTAATATTTTTTTAGCCTGTGTATTTATTTAATAATGGAACAGCTTGGATTAAAAAATTTTAGGTTTATTCAATGTCACCAGGTCAAATAAAAGCGCGAAGATTTGAAAACTAGTAGTAATATTTCTTTTGCATCAACTAACACAGTTTTATTGCAAAAAAAGAAATTGGTTTAGGAATTAATATATAGGAATTAATAAGAAACACTGTTTAGGTTTAGGAATGTTTAGAAATAAAAGTGATCAGGAAATTGAAAAAAAAAAAAAATTATATAAATTTTTTAAAGTAACATCTGCTTATCTCTATCAACTGTAATTTGAAAATAGTTAACTATCTTGATTTAACACTAAGTCTTAACGACGGTTCTTTTTAATCTTAACGCAAACCTATTAAAATACTTAGTTATCAAGATTATTCTGATAATATACTTTGTTTTACGAATTATCCGGATAATATATTTAGTTAAACGGATCATTTGGATAATATACTTAGTTATACGGATTATATATAATTTAATTAGAGTTATATATAAATATAATTAGTTACATACGGGTTCTAATCACCCATCGAGTATACTAAAAAGCATTCCTAGGTCTATCGAACTAAGATTGTCAACCGCATCTTCAAGTGAAACTATTTTTTAAAAAAAGTGTTCCTCCCTATCATCAAGCTTTGAAAAAATCTGGGAACAATTGTAAACTTACATACCATCTAAATATAAAGCCAGCACATAACAATCATAACGCAAAATTATTTGGTACAATCCTCCTTTCAGTGCAAATGTTGTAACAAAAATGTTTTTGACGTTTACTTTTCAGTTAACCACAAGCACCATAAAATATTTGATGGAAACATAACCAAAATAAGTTATTCTTACATGCCAAAAATTAAATTATAAATTCTCAAAAGAAAAATATTTTATATAAGAAGACAAGTACCGTAAAATTGGGTGGCTTTGGCCCTACGGGATGACTTTAGCCCAACAGAAATTTTTGTTTAAAAATGGTTTTAAAAAGTTTACAAATCGATACCTTAAGGTATGCCGGTTGATGTTTAGTAGCGAATTGTGGGAAATTTATTATTTATTTAGTTTAACTTAGTTTACTTAACTCGAGTCTTTGTGATATTATTGTAAATTGCACTTTAGAAGAAGCACCTAAAATCCGAATTTTTTTAGGTGTGTAAACTTTTACATCGATAGCAGTTCCTGTAGAAGGTTTTTTATTGGAATATACACTGAATTAATTTTAAACCATTAGTGTTTGATTCTATCTTGTTTTGAAAACTTAACAGTTTATTACTTTTTTGTAATTAAGGTTAAAAAAAGTAGGTTGTCTTTGGCCCACTACATAGGGTGACATTGGCCCGGGCTAAAGTCACCCCATGTATTAGAGTAAACCTTTTTTAGTGATCATTTATAGATATTATGGTAGTTACTATGTTGGAATGAAAAATTTTGTAGTAGTAATTGAAAAGTATGGTGGTAAAAATATTAAAAAGTATGCTGGTTAGCAAGTATTTACATCAAAAGAAGAAGACATGTTTAAGGCATATGCAATAAAATCATCTGAGTTTGGTTTTCCTGTTGATAAATATGATTTAAGATGCACAGTAAAAGGGTATTTTAGAGAAAAAAGGCGTCATTAAACCTCAGTACAATAATTTTCCAGGTGGCAATTGGACTCGATCTTTTTTAAAAAGAAATCCAGAACTCACAGTAAGATTTCGCAACATAAAGCGAAAGAGAGCAGAATTAGGAACAACTATGATTGATAACTACTTTATAAATCTATCAAATAAAATAAGTAATATATCACCTGATAATATATGGAATTATGATGAAACCAATCCAAGTAAAGAAAAAAAACTAACAAAGCGTGGATGTAAGTATCCTGAACGCATCATTAATTCTACAAAGATCTCATTCTCTGTAATGTTTTGTGGCAATGCTAATGGTGAATTGCTACCACCTTATGTTATTTACAAAGCTGAGTCGTTATGGAATACATGGGTGGAACATGGGCCACCAAAAGCACGTTATAACAGATCAAAAAGTGGTTGGTTTGACTCAACATGTATTGAGGACTGGTTTTTCTCTTTACTTCTTCTAAGACTTATAAAGGCTCAAGGAAGAAGTGTCATTATAGGTGATAACGACATTTGAGCATTGCAGTACTGGATGCATGTCAAAGCAATAACATAGGATTTGTGGTATAACCAGCAAACTCTACACATCTCACGCAGCCATTAGATGTTGCCTACTTTAGACCTATGAAGATTAACTGGTGCAAAATATTATGTGAATGGAAGGAGAAAGGAAAAGGAAGAAGAGTTGCTTCTCTTCCTAAAGATGAATTTCCTAGACTTTTATACCGTTTAGTTACCAACTAAAGTGAATATGGGAATGATAACCTTAGAGCTGGTTTTCGCAAAACTGGAATTTTTCCATTAGACAAGTCTCAAGTGCTTTCACGACTACCATGTTGTAATGTAGTTTTAGACTCAACTACTGATTTAGTAAGCTAATTCATTAAATCAAACAGCCCAAAATACAAAGAAAGATTTTATTTTGGAATCAGTAAATCACCTTTTAAACTTTGGTATGCAAACCATTTGAAATGTTTTAATACAATAGATATAGTACTAATATGGAATTATCTAAAGAAGTATGGCAATTAAAAGAGAAAAACTTATTACCTTCAATTTTTTTTCAATTTTTTCAAAAAATTCCCAACTCTTGAACTTGAAGTTAGTTATTTTTTGACTGAAAAAAGAGGGGGGATAAAGCCGGAAATATGTCAATTTACCATTACCCTTTTAACAAACTTGTAGTAATGTTGCGAAGCTAAAACTTGGTACCAAAGGAGTTTAAAACCTGCTAAATCTGAAAATCATAAACTTATATCTCTCAAAACAATAAAATATAGTTTATTTTTAGATCCACAAAACGCACTTGTTAATGACAATAAAAAAGGTCATTGACAACTATAGTTCTAGAAAAAATCTGACTGATGAAAAAAAGTTTTGGTTTTCGTTATTTTAAATATTAAATATATATCTACTTTGCGAACCAATTTTTATTTGGCCTTATGTTTTATCAAGGAGTTATTGATGTTTTAGTTTTTCAATTTTTCTAAAGATATTTTGCAAAAAAAAAAAAAAAATTTGCAAATATA